CTTCGTGGCATCAGGTCACATGTAATTATGTAAATAAAAACGGGACAGATTGCATTTTAAAATGATAAAAATGGGCCTGTTAAGTTGACAGTACGAATGATACAGTGTCTTTTACTCTCTGACTAGTAAGGACACATTTAGAAATTAGAATACATACCAGTGAAATCACTAAAGGAGAGGGTCACTTGATGATATTATATTGCAAGGCCTACTTCCATGGAACAAACGATTTTAAGGAACCTGGCTTGGCATGGACTCCGGGCAAACTTCTGCAATTCTTGAAGTAGCCGCTGTTCTTTGCCATTTTAAACTGAGGGGGCGGAGCCAATGTGAAGGGTACGGTTTTACAGAAAAGCTGGGGGTCCAAGGGTGGGTACTGCGTGGCTTGCAAACTACCGTATTTTCTCCAAGCATGGTAGGCGTTGTACAAGCTGTTGTTGGAGTGAAGGAGTTGGAGATACGCTGCAAGGGCTTTGGTCGAGTTAAAATCTCCGATGTGAATAAAGGACTTTGGAGGTAGAAGTCGTTGGTACGTTTCCTTTCTGCCTCCGTAAACTATTGGCACTGCTCCCTCGGCAAGGGCATTTTCCCAAACTTTCTCTGTGATATATTCATCACACTCGGAATTCTCGAGTGCAAGATAGAACTTGTACCGTGCCAAGACATGTGTACAATTCCTTGCAAAGTCATCAAAGATGGGGAAGCATTGTGCAGTTCCACACTTTCCATACACATCCACGGGGACGTGCCTCTTCAACTCGGTGACAAACTCAAAGCGAGGCCAGTAGGTGTATTTACAATGGCTGGCCATCCAAGCTATCAGGCCAGTCTTATTGGCTGACCAGTCCCGCTCAGTTGACGTCACTTGTTCAGAGTGGCTGGGCGAGTATTTGCCGTAAGGAAGTTTAATATCTGCTTCAGAGTGGTAGGTGATGGAGTGATGATACTCAATCTTCCCAATTGATCGGTCCCAGAAAGTCATCATTTGTGGACTTTCTTCAGCGTAGAAAAACCAATGAACCTTTGGATTCAAGACTCGTCTGGAGAAGGACAGAATATGAGAACTGTACATTTTTTTCAATTCGTCTGTAAAGAAAGGTAGCACTGAGACAAAACATCGATTGGCATTTTAATATTTGTTAAACGATCCTCAGTGAACTAAGCTAACGCATTTAATCATACATTGTTTAGCTAACGCTAGACACTGTGTGATTAAATTTGAATTCTTGTGTTTTTATGTATGTTACAAGTCACTCTAATCACTCTCATAGGTTACGGTTTTGCGGAAATGTTAGTTTTGAAGAAAAGTTGTAGATTATTTGCGATAAATGTAGTTTGGATGGAATATTGTTTTCATTGCCTCACATT